TAATAATAATAATAATAATTTCAGCATTAATTACCTTTGGCCTAAGCCTTGTAATGAAGAACCTACAGATACTGTACTATTTACTAGGCCTATAAATAATAATCGCCCAAGGGGAATATCTTTTGTGTTATTTCCCCTTAACGTCGTTTTTTTAATTGTTCCCTAATTCCTCCATTGTCTAAGTTCCCCTTAAAGTACAGGTAATAATAATAATAATCATTTCAGCATTAATCACCTTGGCCTAAGGCTTGAAATGAAGAACCTACAGATACTATTTACTAGGCATATAAATAATAACTAGCCCAAGGGGAATAATTTTTGTGTTATTTCCCCTTTGTCTAAGTTCCCCTTAACGTACAGGTAATAATAATAATAATAATAATAATTATTATTATTATTATTATTATTATTATCATTTCGGCATTACAATTAACTTGGTCTAGCCTTGTAATCAAGAACCTGCCGATTATTATGCCTAATATTAATAACTAGCTCATTTTTACATTCATTTGATGTTTTGCCATTTTGGCAGGTCTTTATTTTAGGCCCCTCAGGTCACCCATGGCATTTGGCTGGCAATGTTAGATTTTTTAATTCAATTTCTAATTAATCTAAACCAATAATCATTTCAAAAAAAGTCTAAGAATGGACCAGGCTTAGTATTGTATTAAATAGTTTAGGAATTTGAACACAAAATTGATAAAATACTTACTTTTTATGAACAAAAACAACTCAGAGCAGTACAGCCTGTCATATGCTCTCACCCATTGTGCAAAAATGGCGCATTTTAACTTTATAACTTTTATCACGCAGTTGTCCAGAAACCTGTTAATACTGCATTCTGATTGGTCAAATAAATCCCAATTGGAATTAGCACAATCCAATTGGATAATTGTTATCCAATTGGAATTTAAAGACAATCCAATTGGATAATTGTTATCCAATTGGAATTTAAAGACTATCCAATTGGATATTTGTTATCCAATTGGAATTTTAAAACAACCCAATCGGATATTTCTCTTCCAATTGGAATTGAAAAATAATCCAATTGGATATTTGCTATCCAATTGGAATTTCAAGACAATCCAATTGGATATTTATTATCCAATTGGAATTTAAAGGCAATTCAATTTGATATTTGTTATCCAATTGGAATAAGTAAAAATTCCAATTGGATATTTATAATCTAATTGGAAATCTGTTCCAATTGGATTTGTTTTTTTTTAGTTCAATTTGTATTTGTTATCAAATTGGATTTAAAAAAAAAAATTCAATTGGAGATTAATTGTCCAATTGGATTTTTCCAATTTCTAATTGGTCATTTGTCATCCAATTCATTCTAATTGGATTTATTTAAAAAATCCTATTGGACATTTGTTATCCAATTGATCTCAATAGGAGTTTTTCCAAAATTCCAATTGGAATATTTTTTTCTTAATTGGAACCAATTGGATCCAATTCATTCCAATTACAATCCAACTGACTCATATTGAATCCAATTCAATTTCCAATTGGAATGAATTGGTCATTTTCGTAAGGGTAAACAAGTCATCGGACTGATTGTCCAAACAAATCAGTTTCCATTATTAAACGGATGCTGCAGATAACCAACAATTGCATTTTCAATGGATGCTTCATCTAGCCAAAACTGCAATGTATAATAGATGCTTCGGCTAACCAACAACTGCATTATTCAATGGATGCTGCAGGTAACCAACTGCATTATTCAATGGATGCTCCAGATAACCACCCACATGTTACATCAAGCAACTGCTGTATTAACCATCAACTGCATTTGTGTATAAGAGACAGTGACTGACATCTGTTAAACTCTGTTGAATTAAGTGACGTTAAAACAGAAACTGAGGATGATCTCAAGGTCCTTTTGCTGCCACATATATAGTATATTGATCAACACATAGGTATCTGTCTCTTATACACATCTAGATGTGTATAAGAGACAGTTATTGTCCTATTGCTTTAGCCACTGTTGTATCTCAGATATTTAAACTTGTTTATAGAAGTACAGTATCAGGCAACTTTCCTCTGGTGATCAACAGTTTGCTATAGAATCAGGTAACTCCACAGATACATATGTATTTTTGTCTTTCAACAAATTGTTGATTATTATATGCGAAATTGCAGCATAGCGTACATGTTTTTCAGATGCTAGCATGGCATTTGATCGCAGAAATCATTTTACGCTAAATGATGAGCTTGATATTAAGCGTCAGTGCAGATCACTTTGTATAAGAGGGAATTCCCTGTCAAGA